TAGAGTTGGGAGTTAACGCCCACACGCAGACGAAGCAGTGTTTAAAGTTACCGATGCCCTTTCCAGTCGAGAGGCCAATAGGCCCAGTCCCGCCGCCGCAGGATTGGCAAAGTATGTCGAGCTTATTCGAGGGGTTCGCTGGCCAGATGTCGGCGAAGAGTTTCACATAGCTGCACGGCCTTTTGTGCAACCGCATGGAGGCCGAACTCTGTGACGTGTTGAGTATTCCAGAGGACGAACGGGCTAAGTATCTGGGGAGGGGCACTGGCTACAAGATCGTCGAGAAACCAATTCTGGAACGCATCAAGGGGCCTTTTCCGAAGTGTTCAAAAGCAGCCAGGGCGATTCGGAAGTGCCAGGTTTGGTTGGAGGAGCTTGGGTATCTCCTGCGCAAGAATCATCCTTGGGACGATCGAGGAGTTCGGGAACTGCTGGATAGAATCCACTGGAGGCACCCCAATTTGAAGGACCATGCGTGCTGGCGAGAGTTTCACGACGAACTCTGGTCAGGTCAGCACAGCGGCATCGATGATGTGCAGTCCGCCCTGGAGGCCGTTCGGACCATCGCGGACTCCGAGGAGGCAGAGTTTAAAAAGAGGAGGACTAAGGAGTGGAGGACGTGGGTCAACCAATCCCTGGACTCTGGAGGAGGGGGGCTCTACAAATGGACCAAGGAGCCTCAAGGATGTGCCCCGGACCTCAAGGGGCCCACGGAGGGCCCAGCAGGGCCCGTGGACACAGCGAAGCAGCTCGTCTTGGAGTGGAAGGAGATCTGGCACGCTGGAGAAACCCAGAGTCTTGGCAAACGAGACCTTCAGGCACCTCTTGAAGCCCCTCCTCCAGCCCCAACGGCAGACTAGATCAGGGCAGTTCTGAGCAAGTTCAAGAAAGGCACGGCCATAGGCATTGACGGGTTGAGCCCGAAGGTCCTCCAGTTCCTAGGCGACGACGCCTTGAGAGTCTTTGGCCTTTTCCTGTCGGCGATAGAATCTGAGTTTTTGATCCCAGATCAGTGCGACCTCGCCCTGATCGCGTTCCTCAAGAAGCCAGATGGGGGCTTCAGACCAATAGGAGCGCCAGCGACGTGCATTCGGATATTGGGGAGGATACGGAGGGATGAAGCTCAGCAATGGGAGAGGGAGCACGACCTAGCATGCACGTGCGGGGCCAAGGGCAAGAGCTGCGAGCGAGCGGTCTGGCAGCAGGCGGCAGTTTCAGAGGCCGCTACGTCAGTTGGAGCTTGCGCGGGCTCAGGCTTGGTAGATCTTGGGGAGTGCTATGAGAAGATCCCTCATGACGTGTTCTGGCAAGCGTGTAAGAAACATGATTTCAACTTAAGAAGGGCCCGTCTACTCATCAGGGTTTATGGAGGCCCCAGAAGACTCAAAGTTCGGGTAGTGGTTTCAAACATCATCACTCTTTCTCGTTCGTTCAATTATCGCTGGCTGCTCGTTTGCCACAACTATGCTCAGGGTAGTTGTGCACGGCGCGCTAGAGTACATGCAGGCGCGATGGCCATCGCTCACGATGTACGTCATGGTAGATGACATCACACTAGCGGCGGTCGGGTCAGCACAGCGGGCACGAGCCTCGCTGGCAAAGGCGATCCCAGATCTTTGCAGGCAGTTAGAACAGCTGGAGCTCGTTATCTCGAAGAAGAAGTGTCAAGTCATGCCCTCTTGTCCAGCATTGGCAGACAAACTAGGTCGAGAGTTGCGGGCTTATCGGTTCCTAGTGCGCAGCAGCGCCAAGAACCTCGGTCACGATTTCAGCCAGCAACTCCGCAAAGGCAAGAAGATCATTCAAGGTAGAATTAGCAGGGTTCGACGACGAGCTCATAGATTTAGAGCACTTCGGCACCATAGCAAAGGTTTGGCTAGGGTATACAGGACAGGAGGAATCTCAGCAACTACTTATGGGGTGAGGGTGATGGGGATGGGGATGACGGACAAGGATTTGAAATATCTCAGGGCGGTCTCCATGTTCGCGTTGTTTGGGAAGGCGAAAGGCCGATCCCGTGCAGTTCAGTTTCTTCTAGCAGACCCAGCAGATCTTTATCCATCATATATCGTCAACACATTACCATTGGTCACCTGGCGGCAGGCTCTGCATCAGAAGTGGATTCCAGAGAATTTAATGTCTCGCATCTTCACAGCGGCGCCGAAGACAGAGACGAGTGGTTGGCAGGCTGTCACAGGCCCAGCAGGCGCAGTTGTGCAGACGCTTCGAAGACTGGTATGGACAGCATCATCCTTCTCGCAGTGGCAAGATCCTCAGGGGCCCCCAGTAGATCTCAGAGAAGTAAGTATGCAAGACTTAAAGAAAGTAATCCACCGAGGAGTGAGGAGACAGCAGGAGTCAGCAGCAGCAACTCATCATGGATGGTCAGGTTTCGCTTTCCTGGATCCTGTAAAAGCTGAGCTCAGACAACTCCGTGGGCAGGGAGAGTTTGTTCAGGCGGACCTGGTCAGCATGCACATGTCTGGGGGCCTCTGGACTCAGGAGAAACTCTTCCAGGAGCGGTATACGGTAGATAGGCAGTGCAGTTGGTGTCGTGGAGGCCCAGGCACGATTTCTCATAGGCTATACGAGTGCGACGGGCTCGCCAACTGGAGGCGCGAGCAAGGGTTCCAAGAGCTGATCAGCATCGGCCGCGAGAACCCAGATGCGGTCCTCACCACCTTCGGCGTGGTCGACAGTCAGCGAGATGACATGCCACCCCCGCTCCAGGCCAGCGAATGTCAAATGAGATGTTATCCTCCCATGGGGCAGATTCACGTCTCTCATTTTCGTCGATGGTTCAGGTCTAAGCCCAAATGTCGACTGGCTGACAAGAGCGGGGTGAGCAGCAGTTTCGATCCGAGCAGGGACCGAGGACGTGCTGGCAGCAGCTTACGGCCCCGTTCCAGGAATAGTGCAGTCCTCAGGTCTCGCCGAGCACTTCGCCCTGCTCCAGGCCCTCCACCTGTTTGGCGGGATGAAGGGCACGATCATCACCGATCATAAGAACATCATCTTGGGCCTCGAAAAGGGGCCAGCGGTCATGTGCGATCCGAAGCAGCCGTTCTGGGAGATCTGGAGGCAAATTCTGGAAGCTAGATGATATCGGTCCAGAAAACGTCGAGGTCCTTTGGATGCCCTCCCACAGGTCCAAGTCTTGGTATCACCAGAATGGCTTTCCAGAAGATTGGTTTCACGGGAACAGAGCAGCGGATAAATACGCTAAGCTCGGGGCCATGGGGCACCCTTCAGCAGCCCACGTAGAGGAGCGGTTAGCAGCAGCGGAAAATATAGGAAGACAATTCGTCAGGCTCCTCGGAGGGACCCTCAAGAGGCTCAGCGACTTGAGTTTTCCAGACGTAACGCCGTTTAAGAAGCCGACAGCGAAACAGCCTAGGCAAGCCTTGATAGGTCCTGCAGAGCCCGTCTTGCAGCTTAGGATCGACCCAGATGACAAAGAACATCTCCTGCACACCACGAATAATGTGTGGGGCTGTCGAATCTGCGGAAAAACGGCTAAGAAACGTAGCATAGTTGTTCAGAATGTGTGCCCAGGCATCCCCAGAGTCCTCGCCCAAGTGCATGCATCTCATCGGATGTGGAGCCTGGGCGAGTCAGATCTTTTTTATTGTTCTGTGTGCGGGAGACACGCGCGGAGACAGGTCAAAGACTTGACCGCGCGCTGCTCCCGTCCCACGGCTGCAGGAGCGCGGGCATTGAAGATGCTCCGCAGCGGAGTGGACCCCACCAGCAGGAAGGAGGCGGGGGTCCCATTCCCAGTGCACTGACTTTCCTGTGGAGGTGCGTGTCTTGCCCTGCGGGACACGGACTCAGAGGCTCCAGAGGCTCCAGAGGGGGAGAGGGGGAGGAGGGGGAGGGGGAGGGGGAGGAGGAGGGGGAGGGCTCCTCCTCCTCGAGACGAAGAGCTGGTCCTGGGGGACCGCGCCCTGGGCAGGCCGAGGCGCGCCGAACGACCGGGGCCGGTGAGGGCGCGAGGCCGCTCGGCGGCACACTGCGCGCGCCGAGGCACGCCGGGGCGACTCGCTCACCGCGGGCCAGCCTTGCAGCGCACACGCCTCGGGCGCTCAGTGGGAGGCGATGCTTTTGGGTGGGGAGGGCCTCTGCGGCGCCTGCCGTGCCCTTGTCATCGGAGGAAGAAGGACGCACAGAATAGGGGGAAAACAAACCTACCTCGCTTTTGACCACCCTCGCTTCCAAGAGATACCAAACGATGCCAAACTACGGCCTGTACTGGTCAGGCCTAGGCCGCCTGACAAGGAGGCGCGTGGTATGGCTTGGTTTTGTCTGGAAGCGAAAACGGGGGAGGTTATTCACGCTCTGACAGAAGCACAAACTTTCGACGCTCCGCGCGGACTTCTTGGATCTGCGCCAGGCCCCCCTCCCTGGCGCGCGGAGCGCGCCGGGTGCGGCGCCGGAGGCGCCGCCAGGGGGCTCCAGCTCAGACCCAAAAAGTCCGCGCGGAGCGTCGAAAGTTTGTGTTTCTGTGTTCTTCTTGCCGTCGCTCGGACGTCCATTTCCCCCACACTTGCCGGTTTCGTGCGTGTTTTTTGTTGCTCGACGGCCCAGGATGCTCCTCCAGGGTCCTCGCCGAGAAAAAATGCACACGTCCGAGCGACGCCGAGTCTTGTTCTTCTGCGATGTTCGGCCCCAGGGAGGGGGCCCCTGCAGGGCCCCTGCAGGCGCACCTCGCGGCCCCCGCCCCCTGGCAAGGTGCGCCCAGACTCCGGCCGAGCGGGCGCGCCCCGGGAGGCTGCGGAGCGGGGGGCGGGCCGAGGAAGGGGCAGAGGCGGCAGCGGGGGGGCGACGGGGGAGGGGGGCGAGGGAGGGAGGGGGCCAGGGAGGGGGGAGGGGGAGGGGGCGAGGGAGGGAGAGAGGAGGGAGAGGAGGCGGGAGAGGCGCAGGACGGGCGAGGGAGGAGGGAGAGGCGCAGGAGGCGAGGGAGGGAGGAGGGGGCGGGGGCGCGAGCGGAAGCGCCGCCATCAGCCGGCGTTCGAGGCGTCGTCCTTGACATTCTCGTGCAGGTTTGCGGCCTCGGCCTGCAGCTCGGCGATGCGCTTCCTGTCCTTGCGCAGCCCCTCCAGCTCCTTTCTGGCGTCCGCGAGCTCGGTCACCAGCTCCTTGTGTTCCAGCTGCCCCGCCTCGATGTCCAGATTCAGCCTGTCGCACTCCTCAACGTGGGCATCGCGCTCGGCCTCCGCCTTCGCGAGCGCTTCCTGCTCAGCCCGCAGGCCTGACAGAAGCTGTTCCAGCTCGGCCTGCTTGTCGGCGACATCCTTCGCAATGTCCTCCTCTGCGGACTTCTTACTGCTCTCCTCTTCCTGCAGAGTCTGGATCTCCGCAACCACCTGATTCTGCTTCATCTGCTCTGTCTGCACCTGGACCTTGAGCTCTTGCAGCTCTCTTCTCACGGACTCCTCCGTCTTGGAGGCCTCCAAGGCGCGCGCCTGTGCGACGCGCATCTTCTCGTCGAAGTCCTGGACAACCTTCGCCACCTTGATCTCCTCCTGCCTCTCCAGCAGCTGCATGTGTGCCCGCATGCTCTTCCAAACTTGCTTATCCGCCTCGGCCAGCTTGTCAGAGAGCCCTTTTTCGCTTGTCGGGAAGCCCTTGATCTCTTGCATCTGCGTCTCCAGCTGGACTTCTTTAATGACATTGAGGGCCCCCAGAGGCAACTCCTTCTGCCCCAGAGGGACGGTGGCGCCCGCTCGCAACAACTCCTTCATGACCCCCAACTGGCTCCCCTTGAGCGCCAAGTGCATGGCAGTCTTCACGAGCCCGTCCGTGGCGTTGACGTCCACCCTCCGCTTGATCAGCAACCTCACGCAGTCGACGGCACCAGCGCCCGCCGCGCCGTGCAGCAGCAGCTGCCTGCTGGGCGCCATGTCCTTGGCGCTCAGGGGCACTCCCCAGTCGAGGAGCACCTTCAGCGTCTCCTCCTGGTTCCTGACCGCGGCCTTGCACGCCACGGCCTGGGGTATCGAATCCGTCGGCACCCACTCGCCCTCGCTCTGCGTGAAGAGCTTCATCCTCTGGGCGTTCCCGGACTCGGCGGCCGCCATCCAGTCGTGCTGCTTCTCCAGCGCCTCGGCCTTCCCAGACGCCATGGCGGGCCGCCGCGCGCGGGGGCGGTGGGCCACCCCTCGCGCGGCGGCCTCCGAGAGCCCAGCTGCCGCAAGCCCGGCCAAGTCCCAAAGGGGCCTTGGGCCAGGTTTGCTACGGAGCGTCCGTTCGCGACCACCCTGGGGACAGCCCAGGGCGGAATGAGGGCTCCGCTCGCGCGGATCAGTCTTCAGACGCGCGCGTGCCAGACGCCGCGCCAGACACTGCGCCACGGGCTGCGCCAAACACCCTGCAACCCTCGACTCGTGCGTGCCGTGCTTTGCTGTACCAAGGCTCCGCATGTTGCGCCATTAGGGTCATACCTTGCGCAATAAGCTGCGCCAAAAAGAATACTACAGTGGCCTGGCCTGGCTCGATCCAGTGGTCGGCAAATTCTTGACCTAAACAGCGGACGCCCTGGTCAGGGCAAGCCGTCAAGGATCAGCACCAGTCTTGAGAGTGGCTACGCAGCTACACACTGCAGGGGATAGGCAACAGCTTGAAGAGAAGAGAGTGACGAACACGCGGACGAGCCCTCCGATTTCTCCGCGGGCGCGCGCATTACAAGATCAAGGTTCGGAGTAGCGCTCCAGTGACACTTACCTATTCAAACAATCCTACCGCAGATTACTTTACAGAGACACCGCTCCCCCGCCCACAGAGCCGGCGATACGGATATGTTCAATCCTGGCCAGCACTGGGATCAGCTTGCGTCCTGAAGGTGGGCACCTCGCGGTGATACCAGCAGCAATAGGACAAGGAACAGACTGGGACAGCTGAGTGGGAGAGAGGTGCCAAGTGAAAAGTCAGCCTGGCGACCGGCCCAACCAGACACGCCTGCCCGTACCGCGGGGGAGATAACACGAAGGACGGGGGCACGCAAACTCCGAATAGCGTATGCGGTATAGCATCCGTTCTCAGAGGCAACGTGGGCCACGAGACGTGTGAGGGGTGCCCCGACATGAGTCGGGCGGACGCGTGCTAACGTCGCCACTGGCTGGGGCCTGCGGTGGAGCTCCCTATGGACCCACAGAACGCTGTACTGGGTTGGGTGGACGCGCGCGAACGTCGCCATTCGGACCCTCGATGGGGCTCCTTTTGGGGCTACGAAGCGCGTAATGGATGTGCCGAACTGGTTGACATGCGGAACGCAAAAACACAAATGGGGGGGGGGGGGAATACATTCCCAAACAATGCTCAGGGAGAACATCGGGGTGGGGATGCAGGTGATGTGAGGAGGGGGGGTCAAGGGCACGGGTCGGTTCCGAGTGTGACCTGGTGCGGAGGGTGCCTGGATACGATAAACAAAACTTACCCCGAGACGTGACCGACCCGTCTGTGCTGAGTGACAAGAGGAGGAGGAGGAGGAGGAGGAGGAGGAGGAGGAGGAGGAGGAGGAGGAGGAGGAGGAGGAGGAGGAGGGGGAGGAGGAAGAGGAGGAGGAGGAGGGGGAGCTGGCCCAGAACAGTTTAGAGATATGCCAGCACAGGAGCTGCCTCTGGCTGCGCATGCCACACGGAGGAGCGCGCGCTGCGCAACGCACGGGGCAGCGAGCAGAGGACGAGGACGGCAGCCCCGAGCTCGAAGAGGACTACCTACCAGACCACCCCAACCCAACCCGAAGACCCGAATTTCGGGTTGGGGGGGGGTATGGGTTCCACACGTGTTTTTTCGATGTTCCCGGACCCCCCCCACTAGAAATCGAGGGTAAATCTGAGCCTTCGGGTTGGGTTGGGGTGGTTTGGTGGGTGGTGAGAAGAGGACATGAGGGTGGGAAGGAGGGGGCCGGAAAACACGGAGGCGGGGCCGACAAGCGAATGCGACAGCAGCAGTGCGACGGCGAGGCATGACAAGGACGACAGCAAAAGAAACAGGATGAGAAAGGAGGCTGGCAGTCGTGTCAGTGGTCCGCTGAACAAGCCGCGCGCCCCGCGCCATCTCGCGCTGGCGCTCCACAGGATCAACCCGACCTTCCAGGAGGGCTAAAAAACAGCACCCGACGTAAAAGCCTATCCCAAAGCTATTATACGTCTTGGTTTTAGGCTGTTTCGCTCAGTTTTTTTGGTTTTCAGGCCTCCAGTGCTAAAACATAGCTCTCTGGATGGTCAGGGAACTGCTCACAGCTGGCGCAACAAGCGAGCGAGGCCGACCTCGCTCACCAGGATCTCCCCGATGCCTTCCTGGAACGAAGCGCCCGCAGGCGCGCCGCCAGGTCTTCGGCACCCGGGTGGAAGGGAATCAAGGCTTATCTAAATCCGCGTAGGACTTCATTATGTTGGACACCACAGCAACCCAGGAAGCTGACGGCCATCTCGCAGATCGCAGCTACCCCAAGCAAGGCGAGGTCTACCCTAGGTCTGCGTGGGACGTTCCTCCGCTGGACCCCCAGCAGCCCTCGAAAGAGGCCACAGTTTCGCACATCGCAGCCCCCCAGGGATGGCCGAGGTCAAATTTAGGTTTGCGTGGGGCGTCACTCCGCTGGGACCCCCAGCAGCCATCGAAAGGGGCGGCCATTTCGCAGATCGCAGCCCCCCAAGGCTGGTGAGGTCTAATTTAGGTCTGCGTGGGGCGTCGCTCCGCTGGACCCCCAGCGGTCCTCGAAAGTGACGACCGGATGGCGAGGTCCAATTTAGGTCTGCGTAGGGCGCCACTCCGCTGGGACCCCCAGCAGCCATCGAAAGGGGCGACGATTTCGCAGATCGCAGCCCCCCGAGGGATGGCGAGGTCCAATCCAGGTCTGCGTGGGGCGTCGCTCCGCTGGACCCCCAGCGGTCCTCGAAAGTGGCGACCGGATGGCGAGGTCTAATTTAGGTCTGCGTGGGGCGCCACTCCGCTGGGACCCCCAGCAGCCATCGAAAATGGCGACGTTTTCGCAGATCGCAGCCCCCCTAAGGATGGCGAGGTCCAATCCAGGTCTGCGTGGGGCGTCGCTCCGCTGGACCCCCCAGCGGTCCTCGAAAGTGGCGACCGGATGGCGAGGTCTAATTTAGGTCTGCGTGGGGCGCCACTCCGCTGGGACCCCCAGTAGCCATCGAAAATGGCAACGTTTTCGCAGATCGCAGCCCCCCTAAGGATGGCGAGGTCCAATCTAGGTCTGCGTGGGGCGTCGCTCTGCTGGACCCCCCAGCAGCCCTCGAAAGTGGCACCAGTTCCGCAGGGCGGCGGGGCAAGAGGCAGGCTGGCAGGCGGGGGCAAGCCAGGTAAAAGGCAGGAGAGAAGAGGCGGGAGGAGAGCAGGAGGGAAGAGAGCAGGAGGGAGGCGGGAGGAGAAGGAGGTCGCGGCCGCAGTGCTCTTTTCAAACCGAGAATCCAATGCAGGAAGGTTGGGGAAAACACGAGGGGAGAGGATGAGGGAAGAGAGGATGATGAGGCAGGAGGGAAGGTTACGACCGCAGTGCTCTATTCAAAGCGAGAACCCAACGCAGGAGGGTTGGGAGTACCCCTTCGCATGCGAGAAACTACCACCCTCCCGGCTGCAAACAGAGCACTGCCCACCCACGATGCAAACTGCAGCCCCACTATCCTCCTGCTACACGGCTAGAACTGCCAAGTCTCCTGCCCACGATTGTAACACGTATGCCAACATGGCCACATGTTTCAGCCCTGATTGAAGCAGAGACACCGAAAGTCCTCACCTTCTGCGGATCAAACAGCCGTTTACCTGCCCTGTCGAGACACCCGGTCAGCGCTAGCCGACGTCGACCAACCTCTCAGGAAAACATGTACATCGCAGCCAATTGCGTAACAGATACCGGTCGAGACAGATGGGGGTCGCGGTGTGGCAGGGGTATTAAGACAAACAAGTGAGACTTCGAGGGTCCACCTTGGGGTCTCTCTGCCAGGCGAAATGCTTATAGAGCCACTTATCTGGAAGCGGATGGGGAGGGGGTCGAGGGCTCTTTCTCGGGAAGAGGGAAGAGGGAAGGGTTTGTCGAGTAAGCTATGTGTGACCGGCTTTTCTGTCGCCTCGTGACGCCGAGAGCGACCATGTCTCAAGATACCTGCCAAGCGACGGTGGGGAAACGAGCTGCATGGGGCAGACGTCGCACCCACCCCCTCACACACACCCTCGTGAGCCCCGAGCCTCGAATCGACACCGAGTTAACACGAAGGCCGTCTCCGTCGCGGCGGTGCTTCGCACTGCCCGCCGCGCGCCTGGCCCTTCGGTGGCTCCTTGAGCAGGTAGGGGTGGCGGTACTCCACAGCGCTGTCGTATACAAAAATGAAAGACTCCTGGCGGCACCGCCCTGACCCTCGATCCGACCAGCCCCCTCGTCGTGGCCTCCGCGCCCGCATCCGCCGCTCCCTCTTCTTTGTTGTTGATGACGCATCCTTCACGAATGGTTCGCCAAGCTTCGGGCGTTGGCAGAACTGGGCTTAGTGGAACCTGGCTTAAGGATCTATACCAGGGGCGCCCCCCCGTCCCATTTCCACTAACCGGAACTGCCGTCACCCGAAAAAACACAAGCTATGGCAAACCTGGTTTAGTGATTCTGGCCAATAGGCTCTGGGGCCCTACCACTAACCGGGTCCCCTTACCTGGGGTCCTGGCCATTCCCGAAAACTGTCTGACCTCACACAACAGCCCCGATCGAGCGTCTCGCCCTATACCCTGACCTTCCTTCCAGAGAGCTATTCTTTAGCACGGGAGACCCAAAAACCTAAACAACGAAACGAAACAGCCTAAAACCAAGACATAGAATAGCTCTGGGATTGGTTTTGAAATATCGTGTTATTTTTTGGCCCTCCTGGAAGGTCAGGGTCCTCCTCCCCACACTGGATGACCCGGGCAATCGCCGAAGCGTTGACCATTACTTCGTGGCCCCTCCTGCAGGTTTCGGGCGCAGAGCCGCGCGCAGCCCCACGTGCTTGCATGCGGGGGTGAGCCTCGGTGGAGCCTCTGTCGCAGCGTGTTCACGGCGGGTGTCGCAGCGTGTCGCAGCGTGTTCACGGCGGGTGTCGCAGCGTGTTCGCGTGCTATTTTTTGGCCCTCCTGGAAGGTCAGGGTCAGCGAGCAGGCTGCAGACGCCAGGGGAAGCCCGCGCGACGCCGGAGCCGCGCCGGGCGGCGGGCTCGGCGCGTGCCCGCGGGAGCCGCCGTCGCGACCGGCGCCCCCGTGCCGAGCCGAGGTACGGAGGGCGAACCCTCCTCCTCCTCCTCCTCCTCCTCTTCCTCCTCCTGCTCCTCCTGCTCCTCCTCCTCCTCCTCCTCCTCCTCCTCCTCCTCCCTGCACCCGACGGGGTGTGCGGTCGGCCCGCCAGAGGTGGTCGCGGCCGTCGCCGCGAGGGTGGTGTGGGCGAGCTCCGCCGGCGGAGCGGCGCGGGGGGGTGGCCTCGATGGGCTCGGCGTGCGGCGCGGCGTGCTGCACCGGCTCCGTGGGTGCCAGAGGCGGAGGGGCCACGTGCTGAGGGGGCGGCACCGCGCAAGTGGGATCCATCATCATCCTCGGCGCAGGGGCGGGGGAGGAAGTCTGAGCGCCCACAGGCTCTGCGGGAGCGGCAGAGGTCAGCGTGACCATGTAGACTGGCGCGGCGACGCTCGCGGTGACCGTCCTCTGGCTCTGGACCTTCACGGTGGCAGCTGTCGGCACCTCCCTGATGACCTCCTGAACCACGATGTCGCTGGGCACGTGCTTGCTCACCTCCTCCGTGTGCACCTCTGGCACCTCCACGACATTCTCGACCATCTGGGCCTGCGGCACGTGCACCTCCCTAACGATTTGTGTCATCAAATCTTCCTCACCTCCCTGGGGACCTCGACGACATCGATCTTGGACACGTGCCTGATCACCTCCACGATTCTTTCCCGATGGATGATCTGCGAGATCTCGACCACCATCTCGACCTCCTGGATCTTTACTAGCTTCACCTCTCGGACGACCTCACTGATACACCAGGACCTACGACCTCCACCAGCTGCACATCAGGCACCTCCACCAGTACTGGACCTGGGGCACATGCAGTACCTTCTGGACTGTGTTCTGGTGGTAAACTGGCAAACGAGCACCTCTGATGACATCCTGGATCTCGACGTTCGGAACATGCCTTATGAACTCGCGCACCATGGACGAACAGAAAACAACACAAGCATAGTTTCTCGGAGGTCCACACGGATTTCTTGGAGCGGCATCCCCCCGCGCGCCAGGGGCTGCGCCGGAGGCGGCGCCAAGGGGGCCCCAGCGCCGATCCAGAAATCCGCGCGGAGCGACGATAAATCATATTTGCGGGCATTCTCCCCTCCCCCCCTTCTGACTACTCCTGCGTCGCGCCCTCTCCTCCTCTCCTGAGGGGGAACGTTCGGGGGGACTGCCTCTGGGGGCATAAATCGAGCTTGCGTCGACGATACATCGCCAATAGAATTGCGATAAGCCCCCGATTGCAAAACCGCACGTTCCTGGGAGGCGTGGGCTACCGGGCCCCGGTCGGCGATCCATGTGCCTTGTGCGGTCGATGCGTTCCGCCTCAGCCCATCCCCCCTGCTCGTTGCCCCCGATCCCCCCCGCGACGACGACGACGACGACGACGAAGACGACGAAGACTTCGACCACGACGACGACGACGACGACGACGACGACGACGACGACGACGACGACGACGACGACGACGACGACGGGAGCTCTGGCCTGCCGCGCCGGCCAATGCGGCGGCTCGAGACCAGGGGGGGGGAAAAGGAGGGGGCGCCGACCCGCCAGAGGGCGTCAATGCACACCGCTCCCGGGGCGCGCTCTCTGCCCACACAGGAGTCCCTCGGGGAGGGGGGGGGGGGCTCCCAGTGCCTCGCGCCACTCTGGCGCCCCTGGGGCTCTCTGGGCTTTGCCCCCCCCTCCCTGACGCCCGCCGCCCTGCTGCCTCCTGCTGCCCCTCCCTGCCTCCTGCCGCACCTCCTGTCTGCAGCAAGCTTTGGCCCCAAGTGAAGGGGCCCCAGGACACACAACTGAATACACACAAATAAAAGGATTCCCCATATATTTTCCTAGATTTTCTGGGTTTTCGTCCTCCCCCCCCCACTTCCCGTATTTTCCTACCCTTTCCTGGGAGTCGACGATGAATTGTGTCTGTGTGTTTTTTCCCCTCCTGATCCTGCTTGGATGCTCGTTCTGGGGACCTTCCTGGAGCCACTCGCTCCACTCGTGCGTCGAAGCTGCGTCGAACGTCAGTCGAGTTGGGTCGACCCTGAGTCGAACCCGAGTCGAACCTGAGTCGAACCTGAGTCGAACCTGAGTCGAACCTGAGTCGAACTGGGGTCGAGCAGATCCGTGAGGTGGGCTCCAGGAAGGATCCCCGAAACGAGCACCGGATCCTGCTGCCCCTCCCTGCCTCCTGCCGCCGCTCCCGTCTGCAGCAAAAAAGCTTTGGCCCCCCGAGCACCCCCCGCCGCACGCAGGGGCGTGTCCAGTGTGCTGCGCGGGTCGACCCGCCTTATCGCGGCAGGATCGGGGATGGCTGGCCCGAGCATGGCCGCGGACGCGATGCGCCCCATGACTTAAGTCGGGCCTGTCCCCCTACATGGGGATTTTCGACGAAAATCGGGGATGGACAGACCCCCCTTTAGTAAAACGTGGTTTAGTGAAAACGACCTGAGGCCCAAACCTGGCGGGCGCAAGCCTGGAAAATAACGGCCACGGCGCCCTCTCGAGAACCGAAAACGGACAATTCACTAATCGACGTGTCACTGTTGGGGGTTCTGTCCATCCCCGAGAAAAATCAAAAATACACCAAACATACACCAAAAAGGTCAAACAATATGCAAAAACTAGTCCCCAGACTATTTTTGGATTACTTTTTTGATTATTTTGGGGGTATTTTTTATTTTGCGTCGAAAACCCCCCTGTAGGGGGACACGCCCAACTTAACCCATGATGGCGGCACGCCGCCGTGGAAAGCCCGAGTTCGTTTCGAACGCCCTTCTGAAAAACGAGCGCCAGGCATGCCTACGATTCGGATGTTCCGACCTACTTCAGCCTTGGCCACGAGAGAGAATTTCGAGCACCAAGGAAGCACCGAAACTCGAGGGTGTTCACGTGCTGGGCCCTGGGAGACACTCCTTCGACACTGTTAGGGACACTTGTTCGACACTGTTCCGGGTGCTCGAAACTATTTCTGGGATGCGGTCCCTAAGTACGATCAATACAACCCTATGAAAGTAGGGGGACAAGAAGTGACATAAACATAAAAACCCAGAGGTCCGCGCGGATTTCTCGGATCGGCGCTGGGGTTCCTCGGCGGTGCCTCTGGCGCCGCCCCTGGCGCGCTCCGCGCGCCAGGGAGGGGCCCCCAGCGCCGATCCGAGAAATCCGCGCGGACCTCAGAGTTTTTATGTTCATGTCACTTTCTGGTCCACTATGGGAGCAGCACAACCCTATGAAAAGAGTACCAGGATGACAGCCGATCCCCGCCGTGAACACGCTGCGACAGAGGCTCCACCGAGGCTCACCCCCGCATGCAAGCACGTGGGGCTGCGCGCGGCTCTGCGCCCGAAACCTGCAGGAGGGGCCACGAGGTAATGGTCAACGCTTCGGCGATTGCCCGGGTCATCCAGTGTGGGGAGGAGGACCCTGACCTCCCAGGAGGGCCCAAACAATAGCACGCGACTTAAGAACCTATCCCAGAGCTATTCTATGTCTTGGTTTTAGGCTGTTTCGCTTTGTTTTTTTTGGTTTTTAGGCCTCCCGTGCTAAAAAATAGATCTCTAGAAGGTCAGGGGAGGTGGTGCCGGCCGATAACCTGACCTTTTCGCCTTGGGCCACCCCACGCAAACATTGCCCGCGCGCACACCAGCACTGCGCACCTCTGTCAGACCTGCGCAACCGACACGATCAGGTCATCCAGGGGGGGGGGGGGGCGGGCCCGGGGAACCTGGACGATCGCAAGACCCTAACAACACAGTCACCATCTTTCTTCTCCTCCTCCTCCTCCTCCTCCTCCTCCTCCTCCTCCTCCTCCTCCTCCTCCTCCTCCTCCTCCCGCTCACCCATTTCCACCCGGCCGCTTAGACCAGCCGAAGCAGCGCGAGCTCTCGAGGCGCCTGCCGGCGCACTGCGGAGCGGGCACGGCGTCAGCCTGCCTCTACAGGCGAGGGAGGAGTGCAAATGTACGATGCAAGTCGACGGACCCCCTTGGCCATGACGAGGGGTCTCGCTCGGCCTCGAGGCCGTGAGCTCGGAGGCCTTGACCCCGAAAGCAGTGCACCCATCGCCTTGGCTACGATGCCGTGGGCGCACCCATCCAGCCCTCCGACGCCGTGACTCGCCCACCTCCCCCTTCACCTCATGTCCTCCCGATCACGCATGATCCATGGCCCCCCTCCCCCCGCCCCGGGGCCGGTGCGATCGCTGGAAGCGGCCTGAAATCGTGGTCCGAGCCGCCGGAAAGCTATCACGCGGGCGAACTAGGATCTGCAACGATGGCAATGCGGTGAGGGCATTAGATAAGGAACCATGGGTTAAGGAATCCAGGGTCTGGAAGCCGTTGGAACTCCACTTGAGGCCGGGCCATGGATGTCACTACAGCCCTCATCAGATGAAGAATACTAATTTTTTTTGCTGCTCAGCCCTGCCTCCCCTGCGTCTCATGTCGTCGCCTGCGCTCCGCCAAGCAGCCGCTGCTGCGATCATCGCCGGTGATCCCCCTACTTGGGGCGCCGAGGGCTGTTGCGTTAGTCTGCCCGCCGCCGATTCGCAGCTGGCGCGCGGGGTTGGCTGGCGGCACTCGCCGCCCACGGCATTGGCACGCTGGAGGAGGAGGAGAAAGGACGGGAGCGAAGAGGAGCAACCGGAGGGACAAGGGGGAGGAAGAGGCGGAGAGCGAAGACTGCTGGCCGAAGATGCCACGCCCCAGAGGGCGCCAGGAGGGGCCTCCTCACTTCGGGTCCCAGGCGGCGCTCCAGAACCTCGCCGCCCCGCCTGCAGGGACCTTCCGGCCCCTCGCGTGCGCGGCGGCCTCCACGCTGGAGGCCCTGGGCGACCTCGACGCCGCCCTGGCGGCGGCGGCCGGCCACGGCGAGAGGGCTCCGCTGCTGGCCGCGAGCGTGCAGCCCCGGGACATCGAGCAGGCCCTGCGGTCGGCCAGCGACTGGTCGACGCCCTCGGTCAGCCGCACCGTGGTGCCGATGGTGCCCCCGGCGCTGGGCTGCCAGCTGGTGTGCGCCAGCATCGTCTCCCCGCGCGGAGCCCTCGCGGCGGCGCCGGCGCTCCAGCCTGCCGGGGAGCCCTTGGCGCCCGCACGCCTCCTCGGGGGCGTGACGCTCAACCTGACGGACTGCGGCGACGTTGGCCTGCTGCTCATAGGGGAACGAAAAGTGACATAAACATAAAAACTCGGAGGTCCGCGCGGATTTCTCGGATCGGCGCTGGACCCTCCCTGGCGCGCGGAACGCGCCAGCGGCGGCGCCGGAGGCGCCGCCGGGGCGCCCCAGCGCCGATCCGAGAACTCCGCGCGGACCTCCGAGTTTGTCTGTTCATGCCACTTTTTGTTCCCCTAGCTCAGGCGCCGAAGCTGGCTCTCTGGGGGCGTGCCGGGGAGCCTGCCCTCTTCCGCGGCGCTGGGCGCGCCCTCGGGCGACGGCGGCTCCGGCGCCGCGGGGGCGGCGGCGCGGGGGGCGGGGGCCGGCGTGGAGCCCGTGCTGTCCAGCGCGGGGCGCGCGGCCGCCACGTGCTCGGGAGGCCCCGAGGCCTGGGCCCCGGTGGCGCCGCTGGAGCCCACCCGGGACAGGCGGGGCGGCGTGGCGGCCGCGGGCCGCAGGTCGGCGGCGGGGCGGGCCTGGGGCGACGCGGCGGCCGGCGTCTTGGGCGACGAGGCCACGGGCAGCTGGCTGCACGAGCCGTCCAGGCGGCCGTCCAGGAAGCGCCTCACGCTGCCGGTGCTCCACTGCAGGGGCTGCGTCCTGGGGCTCCTGTCGCGCGCCCAGGGCGACGACTTCTCCGCGCGCGCGGCCCGGGCCCTCTCCGCGGCCGTGGTCGTCTCGTGGAACTGCGCGGGGGAGTCGTAGAGGAGCGACATGGTCCTGCTCACGGTCCAGCAGTCTGGGCTCGCGAGCCTCGGCCACGGCCCGCCGTCGACCAGGGCCGGGGAGGCGTCGCCAGGGGGCCCGGGGCGCGCCGAGGCGCTCGGCGTCGAGGCACGCGGCGTCCCCGGCGCGGGCCACCCCGGAGAGGAGCGGGCGCCGAGGGGCCGCTGCCTGCTCAGCGACCGCTGCCTGCTCGGCGAGCACGGGGGCGGCGTCGCGGGCGAGGGCTCGGCCTCCCCGTGCTCGCCCGGCTGCCGGCGGGCGGACGAGCTCCTCGGCCGCAGGCCCGCGCGCGGCGGCGACAGTCGCCGCAGGGAGCCATAGGCCCCGATGCCGAGGCCGCCGTCCCCGCCCAGCCACGCCATCGAGCCGACGGCCGCTGGAGCCAAAGCGGCCACGGACCAGAGGAGGAGGGCTCCTGGCCAGCGCCCCCACCATGCGGCAGGTTCGCGTCGTGCCGACTCGGGCGTCGGTCTCCGGCACCGCGGGGATCGTTCCACCCTGACCTTACCAGCCGGGAACATATCCCTATCCCTATGCTGGGCACTGCCTCATCACGATGCCAATCTCAGGGATTCCCTTCTTTTTTGAGGGCGATTCTCTAAGATTGTCCTCGCCTTTTGGCATGTCAATCTTAAGAATAGGGATACGTTCGAGGCTGGTAATGAACGATCGGCCGCGAGCCGAAACGTCAGATCGTTCAACATCGACGGATTCTGGGCCGCCGCCCGCGCTCCGCGCTGAGAGCGCGGGCGGCGGGCCAGCCGAGACGACGCGACCCTACCGCAGGTGGGCGCGCCGAGATCCGACGGCCGGCGATTGGCGGGAGGGCCCTGCTGCTCTGGCGGCCGTGGCGCGGCACTCCGGCGCACGTCACGGGGAGACCAGGAGGCACCGATGCCGCCACAGCCGGGGCGTGGACCCCAGGAAGCCCCGAAATATGGAACGCGGCCCCTCTCTTCCATCTAAGTTCAACTTTTCGATGTCCGATCGAAAACCTGAGCACTACCTGAGGCCAACTGCAAAACAACTAGGGAACACTGAGCCCCTCCCAGACGAAAAGGGTTCCTTCTGCAGCGCCCCGACTGTGCTCCCCGGACCCCCCCCCGGGGTGCGCTCTGAGCAGAATTTCGAGGCGAATCCAGCGGAGGAGGAGGAGGAGGAGGAGGAGGAGGAGGAGGAGGAGGAGGAGGAGGAGGAGGAGGAGGAGGAGGAGCTGGAGGTGGCGACCGAGGGCCCCCCAGGAGGCCGACAAAAACGGGAGCACGAGGCAGGCCCTGCAGGGCACGGGTACTTACGTGCTCCTCCCTCGCACGTCCACGCCGCTCCCTGGCAGGGCTCGACCTCCGCGCGCCGCCTCAGCAGCGGCTGCTGCCGCCGTGCTGCTTCGGGGACCCCAAAACCGCGCGGTGGCAGACCGTGCGGTGACCTCGGAACCCCAAGAGACCTCACCGCACGGTCCGTCACTGCACGGTCTTGGGGCCCTGGAGGCCCCTGTCGCCCGAGACGTCCTCGGAGAGGGGCTCGAGTCCCAAAACCGTGCGGTGACCCCGAATCCCCACCGACTCACCGCACGGTGTGGTCACCGCCGCGTTTGGGGGCCCCCGAGTGCTGCTGCTCCCTGGCCTCGCTCCCCCTGCCGGCAGCGTCGCGCGCGACTGCGCCGGCATCGTCACCACTGCCGCGGGCACCGCCTCGGCCGCTGCCCTGCGCTGCCCCCTTTCGGGTCGGGCGAAAGGGGGGGATAGCAAAGGGGGGGGGGGGTGGAGAATCAGCTCACTATAGCTGATTCTCCTGGCGCCTCCCGGCGCAGGGAGGCGGCCATGCATCGAGGAATGGGCCCCTCGGTGGGGCCGAAAGCAGCTGCGTGCAGCAGATTTCGTAACCCCCGCTTTCCCCGACCCCCCCCTTTCGTCCGGCCCGAGGAGGAGGAGGAGGAGGGGGAGGAGGAGGAGGAGGAGGAGGAGGAGGAGGAGGAGGAGGAGGAGGAGGAGGAGGAGGAAGAGGAGGAGGAGGAGGAGGAGGAGGAGGAGCTGGAGGGGTTGCCGTAGCCCCCCCGCCAAGGCTCCCCCGGCGAAGGCCCTGGCCGCCGCGGGCTCCTTGATCGGGTACGCCGTGTTCTGGATCGCGCTCCAGGTCGCTTCCCAGGAGTTCTTGGCTGCTGCGGTCGGCGGGGAGGAGGGGGGGCGCGAGGGGACGCTGTGCCGCACGGGCCCCATGAGCTGGGTGCATCGGCATCCCCGTCCCGAATAGCCTACAAATCCCTTAGTAATCGTCCCCCGGGTCCGGTTTTTTAAAGGCGCCTTTTTGGTCATTAAGGGGGTCCGGTGTATTAGGTCGCTTTCTTTGGATTGGAGCTGAGGGGGTCTGGTTTATTAAGGCGCCCCATCGAAGAGGGGGTCCAGAATATTAGGTCGCATTTGGAGGGGGGTCTGGTTTTTTAGGGGGGGGTCGATTGATAAGGAATTTGGAATAAACGAGGGCCCGAGGCCCAGCTGCCCCGGGCGACCCGAAGAGGCCAAGGAGGACGAGACAGCTTGCTTCACAGGCAAACGCAAGTCGTCGAAGCAAGCCTGAATCCCCAGACTTGTTCACCGGCACGCCACCACCGAGAGAGCGTTGAACCGGAGAGGGAGCTGGACGTCGACGAGGGAGACAGAGTGAGGAAACACATCGACCGTAAAGCGGAGCTCAAACGTTGTGCTCAGCCCGAATGAAAGCGAGCGGCATCAAACAGACTTCCGAACAACGTTGTGCCGTCACGGAATCGGAGCGCAGCGGTCGGCTGCGAGAGATATTCCAGCACACCGCCAGAGGAAGGGATTGCAGCAGCAGAGAGAAAGAACAGAAGGGAGGCGGGGGAGACGCAACCCGCCCTTTGGGGCGTGGGTGCTTTGGAGCCTTCCCTCTTCAAACCCTCTCTTTTTTTCACCTTCGGAGAAAGATTCACCCCTCCCCCCAACCCCTCCCCCTGGACCGGCCTCGGCGAGAAGGCAACAATCATTAGTCTTACGCAGGTTTTGGCCACATGTTGGCCTCCAGGGGGGGGGAGCATTGACTTACGACGGCCCCTCCTTTGATCGATCACCCCCGAGGTGGCCCCAAGGTGGCACCCGAGGCTCCCGAGTGTGCCCCAGGAAGGCCCAAAGAGGCGCCCAGGAGGCCCCAAGAGGCCCCCAGGATGCCCGACAGATGCGTCTCCTCCTCCTCCTCCTCCTCCTCCTCCTCCTCCTCCTCCTCCTCCTCCTCCTCATCCTCATCCTCCTCCGCCTCCTTCCCCCCCCTCTCACGCCCGCTATCGCCGGGGGATGCACAGACGCCCGCTATCGCCCTCCTCCAGCTACTAATCCTCCTCCTCCTCCTCCCTCCTCCCTCCTGCCTCCTCCCTCCTCTCTCTCCTCGCCCTCCCCCCCTCCCCCTCCCCCTCCTACTCCTATGGTTCCTCCTCTATCCTCCCCCTCTTGGGGTATGGCGGCTTCCCAGCCTTTATTCCACCGCGTGCTCCCCCGCTTGCCTGATCAGGGCAGCGAGCTGGCAACAGTCGTGCTGATCCACACACGCCGATGGTAGTCGTGGGGCTGCTCTGCCAAATACTGAGACGGAGAACGACGAGGGGGAAGTACGACATCAATGTGCTGGATCGGACACGCAACAGGTGTATCAGAAAGCAAGCGAAAGAGGCAGGAGGCACTGAACAACAAGGCCCGCTGCCACTTGACACTCCGGCGCGAGCGGAACCCAACGTCGTAGCTGATGGGATTGGGCTCCAACTTTGCCCCCCGCATCCCGCTGAGCAGTGAGAAGTCATGCTGCCATTGGATGTGCATGTTTTCTTGTTCGAAGGTGCTGACGCCAGCGCTGTAGATGTCAACGTCGGGCTCGAACTTCGCCTTCCACATCTCGCTGAGCAGTGACAGAGCCTGCTACGACTGCTCGACGTCCCTGCACACGTTGCCAGCGTTGATCGTCCCTGCGCACGTTGTCTGCTTGCATTCTCTGTGCACGACGCTCGGCACCCGCCTCCATCTTCGCTTCCCCCGAGACCGGTGTTGCAATTCCCTGGACATCCCAGGAAATCCCAGAAACAAGTTTCACTTGTAAAACAACACTGTAAAGCATTAGCAAGACAACAAAAAACAACGAATGTGTGTGTGTGTGTTTTGATGGTTTTCCCCTAGAGCCAAGGAGGGGCAGGGGGGTTGGGCGGGGTCCGGGGCCCCACAATTCAAAAACAACACTAATCCTGACCCCCCCCCAAAAAAAGGGATTGAAAACATGCAAAAAACCAACGAAATGTCCAAGAAAACCTGCCAAATCACAATCCGGGATCCCCCCCTGGAACCTTCAATTGGGCCGTTTTTGGGGTGTTTGCTCTCTGGTTGTTCTGTTGTTTCTACGTCGTTTTTCAGAATTTTTGCGCAAGGAGGTAGGGGAGAAACCAATCAAAAAACACTCATGTTTTATTGGTTGTCCTTGGCTTCTCCACGCCGCCTCATCACATCCTCCGTCGCCATGATCCTCGCATTGCCGTCTTCCTCCCCCCGCGTCGCTTCGCCTTGCGTCGCTCGTCTAGCAAGCCCAGCCGCGGGACGCGCGCCTGCGAAACAGTCGGCATGGGCGCACCCACGCCCGGCAAGGCCGCAAAGGAACGCGCGTGTTTCCCGACGTTTCAGGCACTCCTTCCCGATGCCAGAAACTACCAAGACGAAACAATGCCATCTTCATGGCCCCCGCAAGCTTCGCAAGCTCGGCGTCGAACGTTTGAGATAGCGCGAGGAATGGTCCAGGGTATCTGACTTCATCCATCGCGCGAGGTCCCGAGATCCCGAAAGAGCGGCGGCAGCGCGTCTATGAAAACCATGGGGAACTTGCAATGCAGCTTCCTGTTTGCTGGTGTTCCGTCGAAGACCCACGCTCTCAAACCCCTCATTTAGCATCCTTTCGCTGGTGTCCAGGTGGTCCTGGAAGTGGCCAATCCTGAGCGGAGGCCCAACGATGATTAAGCAGGTCGCCCGCAACTTGTTGGGCCCCAGATGCGCGCTCGGAGGTCCCGCGGGAACATCGTCGCAAATATTCGCGCAAAAACGAGCCTCCCCCTACTCGTCGTAATCCTGGAACCTGTCAAGTCAACTGTCCATGGCGGGTCGGAAGACCCTCGCGAGCGATCTCACAGCACACGGGCCCCCCCGGAGGCCAACCGCGCCAGGGCCTGAGCAAGAGCGGCCCATCAGAAGACGGCGGCAAACATCCCAAGCATTTGCGTCGCTGGCGGCAGAGGCGAACGTCGCAGGCACGATCGAGAGCGCCGCTCGCCCGGTCAAGTCTGGACCACTCTGTCGAGGCGAAAGCATTCGGGAGATCCTTGAGCGAGTCGCACCAGTAGCAACCAGCCTTCGACAGTCTCCACGATGCACGCATGTTGGCGACGACAGCATCCCCCCTCTCGCAATCAGAACCCGCGCGCTTGGGCCCTCTCCTCGTGACGCCTTCGAAAAAAAAAACCTGGACACGGGGTCGAGGCCATGGACGATTCTTTTTCCTCGCGGCCCATGAAAAGAGCTCTTCGGCATGGCGAGCCCTCTGCTGCAATTCCAGACAGAGGGGGCCGTGCCCCAGAAACGCATCGTGGCGAACATCTCGTGGATTCACTGATTGGTCTCCACGGCCGCTGGCGTCTGTGCCTGGCCTAGCCCGACTGTCATTGGATGCGGCCTTTTCGGGCGTATGCAAGAATATACATTTCAAGGGGTAGAGACCATGTCGGCGCGCTCCGTCGCTTCAGCGCCCTCTTGGTGTACCTCTGCATGTGCTCCATGTCAATGGCGGCCTGCATCCGCGCTTCGTGCGTTCGTTCAGGTCTGGACTCAGCCGTCGGTGGAGGACGTCGCCATATCTGCTGCGTGTCCAGCATCTCCTGCCACGTAGCTTGGCGCGCGGCGAGTCCTCCTTCCTTGCCCGCCAGCTCCAACATACCCGCCCACTCATCCGTGCTCGGTAGCATGCCGTCCAATCTGGCGTAGTCTCTCCGAGCCCGTCCGCACCGTCCGCCTGCCGGCCGAAGCGAGAGGCGGCTGGCTGTTGCAAGGTCCCTGACACACACACCACGCTTGCCAGATCTCCTCTAAGAGCTGTTCTTGCTTGCTCTTCCTCTCATAACGGAAGATTCATTTGCGCGTGGCCGAGGTGGCCTTGGGATTCTCGCAGCAGGCTGCGAAGCATTCGTCGGGCATGCCCTGTTGCATCCCAGCGCTCAACCCGCTGCGACGCCTGAGCAGCTCCAGTCTATGCGCCGCCATCTTAGACCTTGTGGCTTCGGGTCTGAAGCCCTGCGAGAAAAACTGAGCACCAACAGTATCTCATCAGGTACAGGTTCTGTCTGCTCCCAAGCCTGCCACTACGCTGCCATACTGCGTTCCACTTCTCTCACAAATCCCTCTGAGCGGTCCAACTCGAATATGTTTCATAGATTGACCCCTATCCCTATTATCTATCTAAACTCCCGGCCATCAGGTGATGCTGAGGCCTTGCGATGCTGCAACATGCGGTGCTCACTTTCTGCTGAACTGGAATATTATCACGATAATCTCTGCACTTGATAACCTGCACACATTTGCCCAGGCTGTGTATAAGGCTCGCCAGTATGAACCTTCTCACTGAACTCCACCGGTATAGCCACGAAGTCGATCATCGACGCTTCTCCCGCCGAACCGTAGAATGTTGGCGTAAACGATCTGTCCGTCGCGGGCACAAAACAACGAACCCGTGTTATTCAAGAGCCTCTCTCAGAGACTCACCGGCACCTAGCGTGTGACACTCTCGTGTTCGAACTGGTCCCAGTGCCGTCGTAGGTATTTCTTCCCACTCTCCATTCAGCTTCGACATACCCAACCCGTCATTCACGTCCCCCACCACAGTCGGCGATACTCTCCTCGGCAGTACCCTAAGTATTTCCCGCAACCATTCTTTTATCTGTTTGCATGCAGCCAGGTACTGCTTGACTTGATTCAATGTGTTCGGCTTGGGTGGGAAATTAACCACTACCACGTAGAAAAGAGACCCGTCTCTCGCAATCTCTACGGCCAACCCTCGTCCTTGAAGAGCCCTCGAGGGGAAGTCAATGCGCCGGTTGTGCCTCTGAATCCACTTCCGAAATACACCGATGGCACATCCCGCTGCTCGATTGGAGCATCCCCTTGTCCGCCTGCCCACTTGCACGACAACTCGAGAAGCCACCCTCGAGACACGGTCGCCCTCATCCTCGAAACCCTTTTATCTGCGT